AAACTTAACCTTAAGGATATCTAATGTCATTCTAAAATCACTTACACTCAAGTCCTTTCAAGCAGTTTATCGCCATTCTTCAAAACTGTTCAGCATCAAAGCATCTAAACAAATGCTGTTACTCCAATGTGATCGTGAGAAATATTTTCTTTTCCATTTGGTATCTACATACTCCCACATTTTTAATAAATGTATTATTTTGTAATTAATGGAGTATATAGAAGATGGCAACCCACTCCAGGATTCTTGCCTGGATAATCCGATGGACAAAGGAGCCTGGTGGGCTATAGTCCATGGGGTCGCAAAGAGTCAGAAACAACTGAGGTGACTAAACACCAAGCACAATAGTCATTTAATAATTATCCAATTTTAATACTAAGACCATGTATTTTTTCCTCACAAGCAGTTCTATGTTGTAGTTTTCTAGGAGTATTTTAATCCGGAAAAAAAAAAAAAAAAACCCTTGCAAAAATAATAAGTATACAGTTTAGAGGTTAAATCTGTGAACCTCACCCTTGATTATTACCTATATTTTTATGAAGATTTTGTCATAAACCCTGGTTGGACCTCAATACATGAAAGAACAGAAGCAATTATAAAGATTATTATACCACCATTGAAATCCTACAGTTTTGTAATCTATCTACCGAAAAGGCTAAATCATTGCTTTCGTGCTTGTAGAAATCTTTAGAAAAGCCCCAACCCTTAACACTCACTCCCCAGGTCAGTCTGCAAGGGGAGTGGTGTCAACTTGCTCTCAACCAAGTTGTTAGCTTGTCAGGTCTACCCCTTCTCATTCTGTGAGTGAACTCAATATCGCACATCTTATTTGCGAGAAACACATGTTCATGGTCTCTTCCTGTCTCTTTCAGAGTCTCTGGTCTGAGCATCTTTGCAGAGTGCCAGTTTTGGACGCACCCTGCTCTGATCCTGCCAGAGCCTTCCCAGAGACAGACCATGCTCTCTTAGCTATATACAGGCCCACTGTTGGCTGCAAGTCACAACCCACTTGAATTTTAATAAAGATTCATAGGCAGTTGTTATGAAACAAACACCATAATGACACCCAGACAGGCTGCAGAATTATTTTTAGCCAGATGATGTGTGTGGCCCATGCCTCAGGCCCACCAGGTGATAATAATAGTAACACTATGCAGTAAGTAAAGAGAACATTTTTCATAAAAGTTGCATAAATCATAAAATGTTTCCTGCCATCCTTCTGCTTCCTGCCCACCTTCCTCCCCCTGCCCACCTTCCTCTCTACACCATCAGCAGTTACAGGGCTCGGTATTGACGGCCTTGCAGAATTCAAGTAAAAATCCAAAGAAAAATAAAATCCTTAATTTTGTTGAAGGATCGGTAGAGAAAAACAAGTGATGGCATCACACATGTACTATAAAAATAGCCAAATTTCGCACACTTTTAAAAACTACACCCAAATTTGTCTTTTTAAAACAGGGTCATGAATGAATTATTCCATATTTGACATTGTTTTTCATATGTATAAATTAATATGCAGCAGTGGCACAGGACTGAAATTAATGCATTTCAGAAAAGAGCTATCTGTCAAGCTGAAAACACTTAGAGGGAAAAGACCATTCCTGGTAACTTAAGAAACATTACTATCATAAGAAAGATAAAGAAGTCCTTTTTGAAGAGTGGTATGTTAGGCTATTGATAAATTTAGATTGCCAAACACGACTTCCGACTCTAAGGAGTCAGAGAGCCCAAATTTCGGTTTCATCCAGTAGTTAAAGAAGCTAATTTTTTTTCTTAAGCTCCCTGCTTGCTCTTCCATGTACTGTTGAGAACGGCAAGATTGGTTAAATATGGAAATCATTTAAAGGAATCTTATTAAAAATCCAACTTCCTAAAATTGAACCTTAAGTGAACTCCAGCCTCAGAGAAAACCAGTAAAGTGAGATGAATATTTATTTACTGCAAGTCAGATTAAAAAGGAGGTTACAGTACAAAAACTTGAGAAAGGAAGCATTTAAATCTGTACATTTTATTGCTACATCTCCCCAAATTTTGAAAAAGATGCAATTAAAACTCAGAGAGGACAGGGTAACAGACTCCGATACATCTGGGTCTGAGACCCTGCTCAGCCCCTCATGGATACCTCACCTTGGGTGGTTTTTCATCTTTCTAACCCCCAATCCCCCAACCATAAAACACAGAAGCAAGTAAGCAGCTAACAGAGGACTTTTTCTTGTCTAGAAACTAAGACAGAAAAACAGAGAAGGGGACTATATTAAGGCTATTTCAGCTTAGTCTTTGTTTCTTTAAAAAGATTACATTGATGCCTGTTTTCTTTATTTCATATATTCACACTTACCTTCTTCTATCTCAGTTTTTGATTCCTAAGTATTCCCATTTCTTATCCATGCTTAAATTCCTTGTTTGTTTGTTCTGACTTATCATTATTTATGTCCACCTGTAAGGACTTAATTTCCTGTCCATTCCCAGTTACTCTCACTTGTGTTTGATGATGAAAAAGAATAATACCAGATTGCCTTTCTCTTTAAATCAGCCCGTCTCAAACTATCTTAACTTCTAATTCTCAAAAAGTGTAAAAGAGTGATATCCTGAGAAACACACACATTTTAAGCTTTGCCAGACCCATCAAAGTGATGGAGAAAGTAAATATAAGTGCTGCATTCTTTTTCAAACTCCAGTTGCTAATCCTGACTCCAACAACTTTGGGGTTAATATATTTTATTGTGGTCCAGATTGTAATCACTCCTATACCTCAGGAGTTTAGAGTCTTCTGAAAATTGCTCCTGTGTCTTATAGTATCTTCTTTAATCTTAAACTACTATATGTTAAAGCTTTGAAGTTGGGAAAATTGCCTCAATGTTATAGGAATGATAGGAAAAGATTTTTGATCTCTAAACTTCTGAAATTCATTTCTACAAAGGCGATTAATATTCAGTCTCTAAATATTCCACATGAATGCCTGGGTCCCCACACATATTACTTATGCCAAGAGATTCCTTTTAATTCCAGGATAAGGCAACATTTCTGAGGTCAGTGGTAACTTCTAAGTTTCTGACGCTCAAGTCCAAAGACAGAACAACTCCCTATGCTTAGCTTTACAAAAAGACACACAACTCTTAAAAGAAGTAAATTAAAAAATAGTCAAAAAATTTAAAAAAATCATTAATAGCAAGGACAAAAAACCCTGATTTGTAAATAGTTTCAATTAAGTTGGCAATGACATTGGCATTTCTATAGCCAAACATCACCCATCAGGTTCTTTCTATTCTCCACTTTCTTGAAGGTGAACAGCATGTATCATACAATATTTTGGGTTTTGATGCTCTTTCAAGTTTTCCTCAGTAGACTTTGAGTCTTTTAAGAGTTTTTCTTTTAATCTCTGAGCAACTTAGTCTAGGGACTAGGAAGTAACAGGAGTAGCCAAGTAATATATTACTATAATAATTATTATTATTATTAAACTACCACATAGGGGGTTCTGATAATGTGCCAGAAATTATGCCAGTTATTTTATATATTATATAAACCACATCAGACAAGTTCAGTGTTACAGCAGGTAGGTAACTAGGTATGAGCAGAGAAATGAGGGCAGGGGTCAGGTGGCAGGAAATCACACATCGTGTAAAAAAGCAGGGGTCCATAGGCAGACAAAAAAAGCAAAAATCTCCAGACTGACAGGAAATTACACATTTTGGGTAATAAGTGTCCAGGTAGCAGACAAAGAAAAGTGGAGAAAGGTGGAACTCTCCTGCTTCTGAATGCAACCTGTTGCTCATTAATTATGCTCTCATTACAATAAGATTAGCCTTGCACACAAGTACCCATCATAAACCAAGCCGACGCTATGATCCTTTACATCAAAGCTCAATAAGGACAAAAATCGCTCCTCCCCTCTGGAAAATGGAGCTGGAATGGAAAATCAGGAAATAAGATGGCCCTGAAACTCCTCCTTCTCCAATGAATATTCCATCCCTTTATTTGTATGCCCCTCATAACCAGCTTGCCAAAGAAAACCAGGGTAGCAGCTCATCACCTGTCTGCCTGCTCTCCTTCTGAGAGCGTATCCTTGCTTAAACAAACTCTCACTTAACTTTCTCAATCTCTGCTTCATCTCTGAATTCTTTCACCAGGAAGAAAGAACCTTAAATACACCGAGAAAATTAGTATCCCCATTTTTACACAAAAAATTCAGTTTCATGAAGGTTAACCGGTCTGCCTATGTTCACACAGCTTGCAAGATAATATTTTAAACTCAAATTTAATCAACAAATGATTAGTGACCTTTAATTAAATGAATAAATAAATGCACAAATGTATAAACATAGAGGTATGAGCATACCCCTCTCTCATATTCATATAATTTTATTCTCATTTATCCTTTATGTATAATTTTCAGATATACATAAAGAGGTGTTAGTTGGGGATGAGAAGAAATTGGACTCTGCCTTCTGCCTGTTGTTTTAAATTATGCACTCATTGAGAATCAAAACTTACCATGGAGTACAGGTAGTTATGACCAGTGGCAAAAGAGAAAACAAAATTACTTTGCCCCATATTCTATCTATAAAGCCTGACCAAAAGAGAAGTATTGATTACAACACACTGATTTTAAACATGATTTGGGAGGGGGGACGATTTTCAGATTCAAACTCAAGGCAAACCAGAACAGGCGTCCCTGCTGCCCCTGGAGAGGAGAAGCGCTGGCTGGCACGGGAAATGCATCATTAGCCAAATCCCTTCCTGTTATATTAACATCCAAGGCACAAGACAGTCTCCTTGAAGCAACAATCCTTTTAGAAGATGAAGTCTGTTGGCTTAGCATAAAACATTATACATAAAACCTTTGTGAACCAGAGTGATAGTGTTGCCCCAACATGGAAAAATATTCCCTCCCATCCTGGACCCCTTCATTCAAGGAAATGTTTTTCAGATCATTGCTTCGTATCTCTTCTGTTCCATAAAAAAAAGCACATCTAGCAGTTTTAGGAAGATAATACTCACATGCTTTTTGGTCACGTTCTTTCTTGTTAGACATCTAAAAAAAAAAAAAGAATCTAGATTAGAAAGAAATAATAGAAAGTAATATGAAAGAATGGCATGAGAGTCATTTATTGAATTAAAATTATAAACCCCCGAAGGGTTAAAATTAATGCTTCTGTTTCTTCCTTCTAAGGAGCAGCGGTCTCAGCAGTTCTTATAGTTGGGTGCTATGTACATTTCAAAGAATTCATCAGGGTGGCAGGCATAAACAATTTGGCAACAGCTAAATGAGGAGTTTTGGGGGGTTATTCATCCCAAATTTCTACTAGAGGACTTTAGCTCTAAAAATCTTTAACCCATTCAATGCAGCAAATCATGTTCTATATACAAAGAATGGAAAGAGGGGTTTTAAAGACTTTGTGCTCTGTCTTAACTTCTCTGTATGCAGCCCATTGTTGAAAATTTTTTTTTAAGAAAATGTGCCTTTAAGGTCTCTTCCATTTGAGCAAGAGAAATGATATAGTAGTGTATGTTTACTTTCTTCCTTAAAGTAACTATCTAACAAAACAAATCAGTACAATATCCTATGGTATAAATTCAATAAAAAGCAAAGCCAAGGAAATGAAAATGTACACCTATATGGGAATAAAAAAAAAAAGAAGAAGAATGTCACATACAGGAGAAACAGTGAATTGAAATCAATGTCTTAAATTTTAAACACAATACTTTTGTAAGTACCCAGGAGCATAGTAGGTTTGTAATACCTGTCATTGCTTTCTGAGATCTTTCTACAGGTGCATAATTTAATCATTCCACCTGAAGTGTCAGGCACATAAAGGTATTATTAGTTAAGACTGAATTGTAGTTTAACTTGAAATAGGAGACTTGAATTTTGCTTTTAACTATTAGAAACAGACAAAATTAAAGTGAATAATTTTATAGTTTTAAACAGCCACATTTCTTGCTATTTTAACTTTAGCCAAGGTGATCTTCTAAAATGTATGACAACATTTATTTTGAGGCCTATTATGTTTCAACTTTTGGAGAAAGATAAGTGCAATACACCACAGAGACTTGTAACCTTTAAAATTCCTATCGAGAATCAATTTTAGGAACAGACAGAGATTGAAATTAATTTGGTAAACATATATTCAGTGACCATTACATGCCAAGCATTATTAGGTATGGTAAAGAAAATTATGGATAAGACCCAGTTCCTGCTCTCAAGGATCTTATGTACTAATGGCTGGGACACATCATGTAAATACATTACATACAATAAGTTAAATGCTAAGGGAGGTGTAAGAACAGAGTGCAAAGAGAATAGATGAGGAGTAATAAATTCTAGTTTAGGGGTTAAAGATTCCAAAGGAGGTGGCAGCCAAGCTGAAATTCTAAAAGAAAGATGTTTGTTTTGAAAACATGGAATAAAAATAATTCCTAGCAGAATAAAGATATATGAAAAGAGACTGAAGTATGGAACAGAATGATTTGTATTATATAAAAACAAATGTTTTTAGAGTATGACTAAGACCTTGGACTCTGAGGAAGATGGCTTGAATTTGAATTCTGACTTCAGTATTTACGAACTGCATGGCCTCATGAGGTTACCTAAACTCTCCATGGCTCAGTTTTCCTGTGTGTATAATAGGGCTGATAACAGTACCTAACTCCCAGGATTGTTGTGGGGATTAAATTAGGTAATCTATAAAGCACTTAGAACATTACCCACTTTATGGTGAGAGCTCTACAAACAATAGCTGTTGTGGCAAAGATACTATATTGACTACAGTGGAGGCTAACATAACTTGTAAAATACATACTTTTAGTAATAAATAAAAACAACAGTATGTCAATTACTTTTTGAGACATGAAATAAACACTGCTAAGGAGCTGGGTGTTCCACATCCATTTAGGAAGCACAAGTGATCATAATGCTCACATCATAAACAAGTAGAACAAATTTTTTAAAATATAAAGCATACATACATATACATATGTGTATAATGTACATGCTTATTTAAGATTTCACAGAGTTTTATAGAAAAATAAGTCTAAAATAACTAGTTTATTTTCTAGAGAATAATAAAGGCTTTTTTGAGCAAATACCAGTGCTACTTTTCTATCTGTGAACACTAGCCATGTCTGGGAAAAAATGGGCAAGAAAATGGGCCAGCTATGAGCAGTACTCTGCTGGGATAGCAAGAAATATGGCAGTTTTTAATGGCTGCATGGGCTGGCATGATGCATTGGAAACTATTGTATCCCTAAACTCAGAGCTGATTCCGCTGACCAGGCAGTGCTACCCCAGGAGAATTTTGCTGCTAGTAGGGCAGCATAGGATGCTTTGGGCTGGGCTGTAAATCAGAGAGAAATCTCCATACCCTATAGTGCTTCAAGCCTAAATTTCCCCTAGAGGGTGCCTGTAATCGCTCAGGATAGATATAACTGAAGACCCTGAAATCAAAGGTAAACTGAAACTCCAGCTGCAACCCAAACACACTCCATCTAAATTCCTAGTTGGATCAAAATAATCAACTCCACACCCTACCAACCTACCTGACAGAGAAAGGGATGTGTTTTCTCTGAGGAAAATTATTTTTTGTTTCAAATTCTTTGGTTTGTTTAATTATGCAACCCTATGTAATGTCAAAAATGAAAATACATAAAAGGAAGAGAAAAATTAATACACAAAAGTAGATTCACAAATGAATCAGAGACTGGAGTCAGTGGGTTATAGATTCTAAAATTATTACAAATATGTTAAAAAAGTTAAAAGAAAAGATAGACAAAATAGGATAACAGAAACATTTTTTTTTTAAGGATAACAGAAACATTTCTAAAAGGAGAAATATAATCTCTAAAGATTAATTTGACATTCTAGACTGGAAATTATTTTTTTTAATTTGAAATTAAGAATTTACTGGCTTAAATTCAAACAATATAGTAGAAGAAAGTTCAGTAAACTTAAAAACAGGTGAATAGAAATTGCATAAGTTGAAGCACATAGAGGAAAATGCTAAAAAAAAAAAAAAAAAGTAAGAAGAGCTTATAAAGAACGTGTAGGACAATAGATCACTAGTGTGACCAGAGTCCCCCTAAAAGAGGAGAATAATCTTAAAAATTATTTATATTAAAAATAATTTATTTAAAATGTCCAATGAACTCATGTAAGATAAACACAAATAAAACTACATCATACTCAAATTATCAAAGACTAAGTTTAGAGAACTGAGGATGAGATGGCTGGATGGCATCACCGACTTGATGGACATGAGTTTGAGTAAGCCCCGGGAGTGGGTGATGGACAGGGAGGCCTGGCGTGCTGCAGTCCATGGGGTCACAAAGAGTCAGACATGACTGATGTCTGAACTGAGCTGATTAAAGAAAAATTTTTTTAAATACACTGAGAATAGAGACACTTTATACATTGGGGAACAGCATCAACAAAAAGATGACTGACATCTCATCAGAAACAATGCAGACAAAAGTTGATGAAATGCCATCTCTGAACTGATGAGAGAAAAAGAAAGAAATGCCTGTAAAAATAGATTTATATACCTAGCCAAAGTCTCTTGCAAAAAAAGATAAAGGACATTTCCAAACAAAAGCCATGTGAATATATTGTTGGTAAGTCACACTCCAAGATATACTAAAGGAAAGCAGGAAAGACAGTTCTTCAAGCTGAGAAGAAAGTATCACACACAAACTATCCATTCTGTTTCTCTTCATTTCTCTTTGTTTGTTCCTGTGGAATCAAGTTACCATGAAGTGTCTTTTTCTTATTCAAGTAGAGATTTGTTTCTTTCTACTTTTGTGCTGTTAGTGAAAGTGTTAGTTGCTCAGTCCTGTCTGACTCTATGCAACCCCATGGACTGTAGCCTGCCAGGCTCCTCTGTCCATGGAACTCTCTAGGCAAGAATACTGGAATGGGTTGCATTTCCTTCTCCAGGGGATATTTCCAACCCAGGAGTCTAACCCAGGTCTCCTGCACGGTAGGCAGAATCTTTACCAGCTGAGCCACCAGGGAAGCCCTTGAGCTGTTCCTGTTAAGTATATTTCTATGTGCTGTGTATAAAAATGTATGCATATCTACATAGATATATACATATAGACTTTATGCAACTGATTTTTAAATCAATTAATAGAAGAAAGAAGAAATATGCAATTATACTGTCTTTTATAATTGCATACATGTTTATATTAACTGGTACTTGTTTTTTTCATGCACATTTAAATTACTGTCTTTTGCCCCTTGCCAGTCTGCAGAACTTATTTTAGTGTTTCTTATATGGTGGGTCTCTAACAACAAATTCTTGAACAAATTTGTTCATCCAAAAGTGTCCTAATTTTACCTTTATTTTTGAAAGATTATTTTTCTGTATGTAAACTCTTGATTCATAGTTTGTTTTCTGTTCAGTACTTTGAATATATCCTCTCACTGTTTTATTTTTGCTTCACTTATTTCTGATTATAAATTAACTATTAATCATGATGCTCTTCTATGTGAAGAGTATTTTTCTCATTGCTTCCAAAACTTCCTCTGTTCTTGTCTATCAATATTTGGACTATGATGTGTCTATGTGTTACCTCTTCATATTTATACTACTTGGAGTTCATGTAGTTCTGTTTCTTGGATGCTTAAAGTTTCTCATTCAATCTGTCCAGTATTTAGTTATTTCTTCTTCAAATATTTTTTCTGCTTCTTTCTCTTTCTGCTCTCCATTGATGCTCTTGTTATTCGTGATGGTACACTTAACAGTGTCCCACATTTCTCCAAGACTGTTTATTGTTCTTCATTCTTTTCTTCCTCTCTGTCTTCATGTTACATGATCTGTACAGGTCTATATTTAAGTTCATTGATTCTTTCTGTTGTCAGCTAAAATCTACTACTGATCCCTTTACTCATTATTTTTTCATTCCAGTTATTGTATGTTTTAATTACAGCCTTACCATTTAAAAGTAATTTCTGTCTTTTAATGGATATTCTCTACTTCATAACAAATTGTCATATCTTTAATTCTTTAAGCATAATTTTCTTCATTATTTGAACCT